TTTGAGAATGGTGGGGGGGGGGCTGGGAGGGGGAGTGGGCGAGGAAAAGAGGGGGGGGGGCTTTGAGAATGGTGGGGGGGGGGCTGGGAGGGGGAGTGGGCGAGGAAAAGAGGGGGGGGGGCTTTGAGAAAGGTTGTGGGGGTGGTTAGGAGGAGGAGTGTGTTGAGGCTTGTGGGTGGTGAGGGTGGTGAGGACACAAGTTTGAGACTGGGGGAGTTTTTTTCCCCCCTCCCCTCCCCAGGCTTGGCAGAGGATGAGCGGCCCCTTCGCTTTTCCCGTCGGGCGGGGGAGGAGGAAGGGGGCGCCCCCCCGTTTTGTTACAATGTGTCAGTTTTTACCATCCGATAGGGGAGGGAGCGGATGAAAGGAGGCGCGCGCGCGGCCAATCAGGAGGCGGCTTCCATTCTGTTAAAGCCAGGCCGCCCTTCCCTTCCCCTCCGCCTTTCCTTCCCCCCCCTCCCTCCCTCCCAGGGCGGCTTTGTCGGTTTGGCCGCGGCGGGGAGGGGGGGGGAGCCTCGGCGTGGCAATTGGCTGGTCGGGAGGGGCCCCCGGGCTGGGCTCAGCCAATCGGGGCGCCGCTTGCATCGGGGCCGGCGTTATTAGAGGCGGCGCGCGAGGCGAGCCCCGCAGACGGCCGAGGAGAGGCGGCCGGAGAGGAGCGGGGAGGGAAAGCTGGCGCAGGCGCGGTCGCGCTCCGGCCATGTTGTTTTATTTTTTCTCTGCAAAAAAAAAAAAAAAAAAAAGAGGGGAATGCAAGTTGACCAGCTGGGTTTTTGCCTTTTGTTTTTGAGGGCAGGAGCTCTTCCCCGCTGGCGTGCAATGTGAGCAAGGACCCCCCCGAGGATGGAAGGAAGACGTTGATAAAAAGCTGGATATTTTTTTTTTCTCTTTCTTTCATTCTTTCTTTCCCCACCTTGACTCGGAGCCCGTTCTTGCTCTCCTGTCTTAACTAGGTCATGGCACCGCCCTTAATGCCAGCAAGCCCCAGTTTTTTTGCATGGCCAAACAAAAAGTCAATCACACGCGTCTTTTGATCTTTTTTCCCCTTTTTGGGGGGAAAGCGCTGACTTCTCTCTCTGTCTCTCGCCTGAAGTGTACATTTCGAGATAAGTCCGAAACACTTAAAAAAAAAACGTAACCTGGCCATTTTTTAAAAAACAAGGTTTAAATCCTTCCGTGCTAACAACAAGGTAACGTGGTTAAAAGCTTGTAGAGGGTAGGCACCGTTGAGAGTCTTGCAAAAAAAACAGGCAGGATCCTTTCCTTTTGTCCTTTCACATTGTAAGTACCCGATCCATTCTGTCCTTCTTAATAAGTGTAGTTTTCATGTTAAATGTTAACTGCAGTAGAATTCTCCTGGTTTTATTTCTTTCAGGCTTCATCTGCATGTCATATATATATATATATCTTATATCTCTATATATTTGTCTTGTTGATCTAAACCAATTGCTTCTGAAGGCTTTAGAGATGCTTGAGATGTTGACCTACAGTAACTTAAATCAGGCGTAGCCACACTAACATGGATAGATGGGGCAGGAATTGATGTTTTTCTTTAAAAAAAAGGGGGGGGAGGAAAGACCACGCCGTTGTCTCGAGATGCGGCATAACTTGCGAAATGATGTACTGACTTAAGGCAGCCCAAATTGGCTGGAGTCAAAATCCGTAAGATGCCTTAACCGCCCCCCCTCCTTTTTAAATTATTATTTTGGTTTGGTTCTGTTGTTTTTTAGCCATTAAGACATGATGACTGGAGGAGATTTGATTTGCAAATTTGCGGCAGATCAGAGAAGCATGTAGCCAATATTTAGCAATAGTGGGCTTTTCTTTTTTTCCGCCCTTTTTATATGCCCCAGCCTCTCCCCCCCCCCAACTTCACCTCCAGATCTGCGTCAGGTAAGTAAAGCGTTCGCCCTTCGCAGGGGAAGAGGAGAGCAGGCCTCTCTTTCTGTCTCGCTCTGCGACAAAAGGGCTTCCTCCAGCATGGATATAGCCAAGCTGCTTTCGGTTCGGTGGAGAGGGAAATGTTGCTAACGATCTGGGCGGCTTGTGGAGTTGGGGGTGGGTGGGGGATCGACCACCAGGATCCGATCCCTTTTCTTCTTCCATCTTGGCCAAACAAAGGGCTGGGATGGAGCTGGAAGGGCTGCTTGATGGATCCAGGCAGATTTGAGAGAAGCTGCCAAGCTGCTGCCCTTGAAAAATCAGGCAGAAGTGAGGGGTGGGTTGTATTTTTTCCTCCCCTTACTGCGAACAAAGAGAAGCGGAGAGGTTGGCTTCCTCCTGCAGTCCTTAGAAAGGCTTTTTTGTTTTGTTATTTTGCTGAATGCGTTTCCTCTTTTCCAAGAGAACCAGCGATCCGCAGCAATGGAAGCGAGTTGGCATCGCTCAGCTCTCTCCCCCCCCCAAAAAAAACCAACAACACAGTCCAGGGTGTGAGGAAGGGAAGCAAAATGGAGTTTGGCCGTTTCTCTGTTCAGAGGCAAGCAGGCTGGAGCCGTGCCGGGTGTGTGTGTGGTGGGGGATGGTGTGTGAGGCTGGTTCCCAGTGGGACTCTTTGTTTGCTCTCTCTCCTTTTCCGCCTCTTGCAGGAGCTGCTCGCAGAGGTTTTCTTTGGTCCCCGGACAGCCCCCTGGCTGGGGCCCTGCCTCTCCCCTCGGATGGAGCGGGGAGGAAGCCGAGATGCCTCCTCGCTGTCTTGCAAAGGAGAGACGGGAGGGAAAAGATGGAGGCTGTTTTGCAGCAAGCCAGCAACTCCTGGCTGGGCTCCAGCCCTGCCTGCTCTTCTGCTGAGCCCTCCCAGAGGAGAAGTAAGAATAGCTGGGCTCTTAAGGCAGCCGGCTGTGCCCTTCTATGGCTCTCCAGCAGCAGCAGCAGCTCCACGGCAGGGTTGGGGCAGGCAGCCTCTCTCCCCACCCCCCTTGCTTGCAGTAGAGGGAGAGGGTTGCTCAGACATGGCGGTGCTGCCTTCCTTCTTCTTCTTTCGCTGCTTCTTCAGGCAGCTAGGCGAGGGGTGGGGAAGAGGACCCTGAGCTCCTGCCCTGGAAGCTCCAAGCTGGGTGTTGGCGGCATTGCTCAGCCTCTCCTCCCCCAGCCCTGACCCCTAAGAAGGGTGAGCTCAGCCATGTTGCAGGAGGAGGAGGAGGAACAGCAGCTGCTGCAGGAGCAGCAGCGAAGGGAGCCGTGCTCTCTTGTCAGACCAGAGGCGAGCTTCTTCCTGCTGGCATCTGCCCACTTGGCAGTGGAGAGGCTGCGCCAGGCGTAGCTCGGCTGAAGCCGCTCGCTTCTTATGGTTTGCAGGGCCAAGATCCAGAGTAAGGACAGGAGAGCCACTCGGGCGCTCCCTTCTCTTTCCTCCAGCCAAGAGGGCTCTCTCTCTCTCCAGCAGTGGATCCCCGAGTTGCTTCACTGCACTCGGCTGCTTCCCACATGGGGGCATTTTTGAAAGAGCAAGGGCGACGCCTCGGGCCTTGACTTCACGCCAGACTCTTCCATGCAGCCTTTTCCGCAGGCTCGGCCAGGATCTTTTTGTTTTTTTTAATCGGTGCAGAAATGAGTAGAGGAGCCACCAACTCTGGTTTGGGGGCTTAGAAAAAGATTAGGTGTCCTCAGAGCAGCCGGAGTGGCAAAATAGGCACGGATCGGCAAGCGTAAATCCACCTGACCTTTCTCTTCCCCATCAATCTCTCGGGAGGGGTGAGGGTTGAAGCGTTTCTCTTCTTTGCTGCTGCTGCTGCTGCTGCTAAAATATTCAGAGGGAGGCCCTGGGTGTTGCCTCTCGGATGCCATTTTACCACCTCTACCGGGGGATTTGCTCAAGCGGTTAAACCGGTTTTTAAGCAACAGCTTCGAGGAACGGACTCTGCCTGCCTGTTAAACATTAAGCCACGTCATCCTTCAGGCCTTTGTGGGAAGAGAGAAGGTAAAGCGATTGCTTAAGTCGAAAAGCATACAAGTGGGACATAATCCTGGTGAATTATGCCAACTGCTTCAGAGTCAACCTGCTTAGTCTGACATTGTACACTTGGCGGCCTTTAACGTGGGCTTGGGAGAACTGGCTTTAATTTCTGCCACTAGGCTTGAGTGAGGAGGCATCCTGGCGCATTGTTATTTCCATGTGAACCATCCTATCCTGCCGGGAGAGTGTGGTTGCGTGCATCTTCTACCGATTTGCTATTTCCTCTCCCTCAGTAGGTGACCTACTTGCTGGGAGGGAGAACAGCGAGCCCAGTCCCCAGATGCTGGTTTAAGAAGGCATCTGCCCCAAGATTGCTGGTGTGTGCTAGCAGAGATGTGGCGGCCGATGGCTTCTCAAATTCCTTTCAGATGAGTCGGAGCCAGGCACAGCAACAGCCCCACTACAAGCTTGATCCTGCAGCTCAGAGATCTTTGTGCGTCGTCTTCCTTGGGTTTCTCATTCCCTCCCCATCACACGGAGCCTAATGTAGGTCACTGTGCAATGGCTACTCTTTAGCTTCCATGTCTTTTGCAACTGCGCTAGAATATTGTGGGTTAAGAGTTTTCCAAGCAATCCGCATTATCTTTCTTTTACCATTGTTCAATGTACAGTTGCATAGTCCCCCCCCCCTCATCCCCCCCATGCTGTCGATAGGTGTGAAGGCAGGGCTGGAATACATAGATAATTTTATGTACAAATTAATCCCATGATTTCAAGGCTGAGGTAAGATATAAACTAAAATGTTTGCAGCTTGCGTGAATAGTTGTGATGCTGACTTAGACACAATGGAATGCCTGGTTTTTCCTCCTTGACTGAAGTGCCTGGATTAAGTACTACATTGTTGTGTCCTAATTTGGGATTTCTGGATACTAGACCGTTTTATTTTAAAATTTCAACAAGAGTGGCTGAGTCGAAAGGCTCTAAGATGGAGTCTTTTGGTTGATCAAAGCAGACTTTTGGAATTTGGATATTTATGCAGACGGCGAAGACCTGTGTTGGCTGTCGAGTTTGTTAAATTGTCTCGAGAGGGTGATTTGCACTGAATATGTGTGGAGAAATGTCTTGCCTGCTTCATCTGTTTAGCCAACAAGCAGTAATATTTCAATGTATGTCAGTTTCAAGGGTATTTTACTTCAGTCCTTTTGAACTGTCCTTGGAGAAGGCTTGATGTGCAAAAATGCACCTCATTCCCGGTGTTTCTAAAGGTTTTTCTAGAGGTAGAAATGCTATGTTTTTCTAACCCAGATGGTTCAATGTCTGTGTAGGACATTGTAAGTCTGAATTGAGGCCGGCGTGGAAACCCAAACTTAACTTCACTCAAACGTTGGAGAATAAGCTGTGTGAGGGCAAGTTCTTACAAGCAAGCCTCCTGGCCCGCTTCCTGTTTTGTTGTATATTTAGACAGCCAAGACTCCACCCACTTTTGTGAGCCAGAAGGCTGAGTACAGAGGGGCAGTTTTATGAAATGTTTGCACATTCTGAATGGCTCTTTGTCCCCGAGCAAGGTCTAATCGAATGCTTTTTTTCTTCCCTTTACACTTTAAACCTTTCCTCCAGCAGAGGAAGAAAGCGGCTGAAGGGGGCTCTTTAGGCAGTTATAAGGGGACCTTCAAGCGGGCAGGAAGAGATTAAGCAAAAGAAACAGGATTGGCTTTTCAATCTTCCTAGGGTGAAGTGAACGCTTATATGGTAGGGAGGAGAAATGGAGGTATACAGTAGGAGCTTACGTAAAAGAAGGATACTCTACGGAGTAAGGCTAAGCGGCTCTTGGCCATAAGGAACAAAACAATCTCCACATTCATCATGTGATTGGCTCAGTTTCGGTCTTAACGGTGTTTACGAAGGCACTGCTGGGCGGCGGTGTGCAAGTCAGTTTGTCTTGTCGTCTTGTATATATGGAGCCGGTTGTCTATTCAGCAGGCCAAGGAAAACCAAGGTTAATGTGTTATTTGAACCCAGTCCTGTTCACATATTATGCTACGCCATAATTTGATCTGTCTGGTCTTGATTAAATATTACATATCAGTCTGATCTGCTGTGTGGACCACTCGGCCAATCGTGGCCGAGGTACAGATCTTGTCATTGTATCCTATTAAGGAGCAGTTGCTAGGATGCGCTGGCCTCTATTTCACCTCCTTTTCTGAACTGCTCTCAAGTGCCCAATGCCGGACTAGGCAACCCGTTGGCAATCTAACCCAGGAACTGTTTGTGTGAATGCCCTACTGAGGGATTTGGGCAAGGAATATGGCATTGTTGGAGCTTGGCAGAAGGACTGCGTTAGTTTTAGCTTTGGTAATGCTGCTAAATTCGGTAGCTTTGGTAAGCCTAAACCACAGGCATAACATTATCCCAATAAGAGCCAGCCAATTCTTTTAATGGTATACTTCTGGCAAATTGTTAGACAAAATAAAATTGTATGTCCATCCTCCAGAGTGCTTCCAGTTGGTGTATTACCTTGGCAAAAGTAATCTGAGACCAGCCACTGCCATTTGGATCACATAACCTTTGAATAATTGCCTTCGTGATTAATGCCGCTCCTTTAAGGCAAAAATATTAGGACGTTTTGCATAAATGCGTGCCTACGGGTTAAGGTTTTGTGTCAAGACTGCAAAACATCAAGTCCCGAAGCAGACTTACGTTCTTCCTCAAAAGGCCAGCTTTAGTTATGTTTGTCTTGCAACACTAGGAGACGGTTGAGGAAGTAGCATAATTCAAGTTGCTTAAACGCGAGGAGCTTGAGACTCTGCTTCTACTTCATGATGGCCCCGGTGGCTTCATTTTATTATCCCTTCAAATAGCTGGATGACATGTGCTCTGGATAGTATTGAAAATGACACAGTGGTGTATTTTGTGCACATGTGGTTTCAGGGCTGAATTCTAACGGTATCACTTTTAGTAGAAATTAGGTTTCAGTTTTATGGGAAACCATAGTTGGCTTCCCATTGTGCGAAGTTCTAAATCACACATTAAGCTAAAACCAAACCTGGATCGATACGATGTGTGAACTGAGAAATCTTTGCTGGGCCAAAATAAACTCAAATCAGTTCATGGAACAAACTGAAATTCAACCCACCTACTGACTTGCTCTAGTAAAATGGTTATTTTCAAGGATTCAAATGCAGCCGGCTAGCAGTGTGAATCTCTATCAAATAGTGTGGATGGGCTCTCAGTAGGATTATGGACTATTAGTAGAATATTCAAGGACATTGGCCTTGGCCACTGAAAATGTCAAATCTACATGGTGGCCACTGAAGGCTGGATTTGCTCAAGACACTTGATTACTGAATGCACTTATTTTTTTGACTCATGTAATACACTGAATAATAAATGATTTGAATGAGCAAAACCTTGTTCTTTATGGCTTAACCTGACTAAGCAAGTTTGGAATGTTGTGCAAATGCTGTTAGGTCTAAGTGACCTGGTTAATGTGTCATACATTAGTTATGTTTGCAAACGTCCCTAAGCTTGCTTAATATTTGAATGCAACTTTATAAATTTAGACTCTTCCCCCCTCCCCCCCAAGCCAACTTTTGTCTGGTCTTCTTGAGTGAATTGCTAGCAAGTGTTAAATAAGCGATTAGTCTTGTGCTTATTTCAATGGTTTCCCACTAGCTAGATAAAAAGAAGTCAACTTATTCAAGTAGCAGCTCTATAAATGCTCGAAAGCTACCATGCTAGAATAGAGTACTGGCAATTTATTTATTTAGTAGATTTATAGGCCGCCCAATCCCGGAGGACTCCGGGCGGCTCACTAATCTCCGTCATTTTTGGGCATTCATTGGGTTGCACGTTTTTGAACAAATGTCAGCATGCAATAGGTGAAAACAGATAATGCTGTAACGTGAAACCTGGAAGGTAGAGCAATGAAGCCTTGCAACGCCACGTGAATCAATTTATACAACAATAAGGTTTTATTGTACTTACTGTTTCTGTAAACTGACTTCAGCCAATGTCATGCTTTTGAGGGTGCTAAATTAAAGGGAGAATGTAAAAACGTAGTTAAAAGAGGGCAGTTTTGCCATTAGTTGCAGTGCTAACTCATGCTAGGCTTAAGAGAAAAGAGGAAATACGTTTCTCATTTTACAGGAGATGTGGCTTGTTCCCGTTTCCGTGTTTACTACAGGGTGGACAACTTGTACATTACACATATAGTAGAACTCCACCCACCCACCAGTAGAGTACAAAACTGGCATGCTCATGGCTGAGAGGTTTTGTAATTAGTAGTAGAACTATAAATGAAGGCCAGAAATGTATACTGCACTAATTATTTAAAAATCATGCAAAACTATGCCCAAGCTTCCTTTTAGGAAGAGGGTAGAGGAAACAAAAGGCAGCATTTGAGAACCTGAAGTTAGTTTAGCGCGCAAGGTAATTGTGCAGATAAAACAAAAGGCACAGAACATATTGTCCCTGATCCCTGAAAGGGGGGGGGGGGAAATGAGATGAAAGTACAGTGACTGGTAATACTTTCTAAGAAAAGTCAGTTACAAGTAATTGCATCAACAATGGTAAATAAACCAGCCAGAAGTTACTTCTGCCTTTTGTTTTCCATGAACTTGATCCCACCTCCCAATTGTAGCCCAGTGTGCAATGAGCTGAATGGGTTTTCCATCAATAGTTCAAGCTTTGCGAAATTACCCAGGTTCCAGAAGCAATTTTCTCGGCGAGGCTCATTCAGAGAACACAGGTCCAAAGCCCCGCGGAAGAGAAGACATTGCTCGCTTGTGCTTTTCGGGTCAGCTGACGTCTCCCTCCGCTTCGCTTTTTTGGACTGGTAGCAAATTTCTCCTTCCCTTTACTGTCACAGCGAACTTCCACGGGTTGGTGGTTTTTTAATCTTAGAGGGCCATCTAGTGGTGACACAAAGTAGGTACAAGAAGAAAAATGGCCTCCTGGTTAATGGTGACTTCATGGACATCCAAGCCAACATCCACCGATGTTGCTAGGCAAGGTGCTGCCACCTGTTGAAAGCTTTAAAAAAGAAAGCTTTAAAACTGCTAAGTTCGATAGCTCCCAATAGCTCCCAAGGAGGGCCTTCTCTGTGGCTGCTCCGTCCCTCTGGAACGAACTCCCCGCGGAG